ATCGGGGATCCATGGGTGGGGATGGAGGAGACCCATGGTGGGATCCATGGGCGGAGGATGGAGGGGATTCATCTGTGGGTGGGGGATGGAGGGCACCCATCAATGGGTGGGAACTGGACGGGACTCATGGGGAGATCCCTCAGAGTTCCACGGGTGGGAGATGGAGAGAAATCTATGGGTGGGATCTGTGGATGGAGGGACGTCTATAGGGTGAATCCATGAGGGGGGATGGAGGGGACATGGGGTGAGATCCATGCTACAGGGATGTAGGGGGATCTGTGAGGGACCTATGGGTGTTCCAGAGAGAATTCAGGAGATGGGGGGAATCTATGGGTTGGGCAGAATCGAGCGATGTCTGGGGGAAATTGGGATTGGAGGAATTCGTTGGGGCAAGAAATCTAGGAGGATCTGTGGGTAGGGGCAGCAAAATTCAGAGGTTGGGAATCCATGGATCAAGGGAATTCATGGCAGGGCACCCCTGGACAGGGGGGTCTATAGGATACAAAATTCCCATTTCTTTACAGGGTTCGGGTCAGGCTCCATAGAGAGAGGATGGGAAGGGGGGACCAAGCAGAGGGATCCGTGAGAAGATCCAGGGGGACCTCGAGGAAGGATAGAGATATAGACACAGATCCGGGGGAAGAGCGAGTGCAGGCAGGTGTGTCCTGGGGTGGGAGATCCATATAGGGATCCATATAGGAATCCATAATATAGGGGGACCCAGAGGGGGTCAGGATCCATGGGGAGGAGATCCAGAGCTGGGGATCAGGTGGGGCGAGATCCAGCAAGGGAATCAGGGAGGGACAGAGGCAAAATCCACAGCGGGGGATCCGGGGAAGAGGGAGTGGGGGTGGATGGGGCTGGGATCCGTAAGAAATTCGCTGGGGGGGTCCATGCGGGATCCGGAGGGTGCTTGGGGGGGACAGTGTCAGGATCCGTGGGGAAGGGATGGAGGGATGACCCACCAGGGGGGCTCGTGGGGACGTCCGGGGAGAGTCGAGAGGGGNCACGGCTCAGCCCGAGCAGGGCTCGCTCTCCTGGGTACCCGCGGCTCGGTGACAGCGGCTGCCTCAGCAGGTCCAGCCCAGAGCTCAGCTTTGCTCAGAGCCGGTTTTATTGAAATGGGTTAAGTGGCTAATGGGATTGCTGCTGAGGGGCTTAGGCAGGGATTAGTGCTGTGGCTACGGGCTGGGCATCTCTGAAAGTGTTCCAAGAACGTGTGGATGTGGCACTTGGGGACGTGGTTTAGTGATGGGTATGGCAGTGCTGGGTTAGCAGTCGGACTTGATGATCTTGGAGGGCTTTTCCAACCTGACAATTCTGTGATTTCTATCTGATCTCTGCTTGGACAACAGCTGATTTCTGTCCTTCAGTGCCTGCCCTCCCCATCTCCCAGCAGCTCCCAGAGCTCCCAGCATCGTGCTAGGGGGAACAGACATCCAGGACAGGCAGAGCTGGCTCTGGCTGCCCTCCAGTTCTACCTGCCTGCCCCCAGGAGAAGCACCTGCCTGCACCCAGCCCGACATTGCCCTCCGGAGGGGCAGAACAGTGGCACCTCCCTGGGAAGGACCCAGCCTGGTGCCCCGGTGACACGGGTGGTGGCAGTGTTCCAGGCAGTGACACCGGCTGGTGGGCAGGCCAGGTCCTGCCCGGGGCACGGGGGCTGGAGGGCTGGGCCTGGTGTCTGAATCGGCAGCTTGTTCTCCTCTGAAGGGCCCTTTCTGCCCTGGCTCCCTCTGTTTCTCTTTGGAAAGTTTTATGTTCCTTGTGTCACAAGGAGCCTTTTCTTTGTCGCCCTTCCCGAGCGTGCCAGGGAGAAGGCTGTGCTGGAGCATGGCCATCCCTGATGGCAGCTCGAGGCTGGATGCTGCACAGGGCTGCAAGGTGCAGGCAGCAGCCTTTGGGGGCAGCTGTTTCACAGCACCAGGGCCTGACCTTGGCAGGGGCTCAGCTCCTCCTGTCTCTCACACCCTGGTGTTCACCCCTGGGCTGTCCCCTCCACCCTCACCCATGAAAAGGAAGGATGCTGTGAAGCCCCTGAGCATCTTTGTGGGGACATCTGGCACAGTGCTGCAGCCCCTGGTGTTTCTGTGCTGCCAGTCCCAAGGGTGTCTCAGGGATGATTCCCAATTTACAGAGCTGTTCTGCATCCCAGCACACACAGGGAAGGATCCATCCTCCCTCTTTCCTATTCACCAGCCTGGTTTCAGCTCTCTTACCCCTTCCAGTGGCTGTGTCAGGGTGGGGAAACAGGCACAGAACAGCAGCAAGTTGAACACATTTTCTGCAGGTTGAACACATTTTCTGTCACTCAGTGTCCATGCTCAGACTCCTGCCAGATTTATCCTGGTATATGGGACAGCATGTCATCCCTGACAGGGATCTAAGCTGTGATAGGAGAGAAGCAAATTTTATCTCACTCATAAAAGTCACCCCAAAATTCTACAAAATAAAGAGCAAAATGCTTGCAGAGCCATTCACTGTTCTCTTGGAAACATGGGACCCCTGTGGCTGGACCCCTCCAAGGCACAGAGGTGGAGCCAGGGGTTCAGTCACTCATCATAGCCCCTGCAGGGCTGGAGGCTGTTCCCAGCTCGGCTCAGGTGATGGATGGCTCCAAAGCAGATCTGCTTCAGTGCTGGGAATGCTCCAGTGACCCCGCTAGGTCATGGAAATGGGGACATGAAAGGAGATCAGGCTCCAGGTCCCTGTTCATTTCTGGCTGCTAAAATCACACGTGTGAGATGGATTTGGACACGAGGCTGAGGAAGTAGTTCAAGCTCCGGGCACAACAGATGCCTCTTTGAAGGAGATGCCTTCAGGGGTGTGCTGGCTTGTGTCTTTCCTGGGATGAAGGACACAGCTCAGCCAAGGCTTTCCTTCAATGTGAGCACTCGTAACTCTGTGTATGTCATTGTCCAAAAGGATCAAATCCCACCTCACCTCTTGGGGTTAAAAACTGAAGTTCACCTCCAGACCTGAGCTCTGTGGACACCTGGAATGAGTATCCTCTGCTTGGCTGGGAGACAAACACCTCTGGCTGCCCAGGAGGCTCTGCCCTGATGCCCAGGCACGGCTGTGCTGCCCACAGCATTGCTGTGGCTGCTCCTGAATATCCCCTTGTGCTGAAACACCTAGTGTGTGCCTGCTGCTTTCCCCTGCCACGGGACCCAGTGATCCCAAGCTGGTACCCAGGGGAGTGATTGGGCCAAAACCTCACCCAGCAGCTGGAAGTCCCCACATTAAATCAGGTGCAAGTTCCCAGAGCTCACGTTACCCAGAGGAGGAGCAGCAGCCTGTTCCTGAGAGCTGTTCCTGGGCTGCAGGAGAAAGTTGTTTCCTTTTTGAGCTAATTGCAAAGGAGCTGCTGAGTCTATCTGGGTCAGGCCATGACCTGCTTTAGCCAGGCAGAGGCAGCAGGATGCCAGTGTGACACAGCATGACACAGCGTGGCACAGTGTGACATAGGGTGACACAGCATGATGGGTGCCTGTCTGCTCCCCTGCCACCATCATGGGGCATGTGCCAGGGACACCCAGTCCTGGATAGGGTAAAATCAGTCTGGAGGCAAAGGAGAATTCCTTGGGAACAAGGACGGACTGAATCTTTCCCAGGAATGGTTTTGGTTGATGGTGGTTGATGCTGGATGTGAAAGGGGCTTCTGGGCAAAGAAGTGGCTCCTCCTGGAGCTGCTGGGGGCAACAGGGACTTGGCAGGAGCTGCTTTGGTTTATCCTATTGATGGCATCCCCGGGTGTGGGATGCCAGCATGAGGGTGCAGCTGGTGTCAGAGGCTGGGGGAGCAGGGCCACATCCCCAGGAAGCCCACGGCATCTCTAGAGCAGGGTGAAGCCTGGGGAGGGGTCAGTAGTGTGACCCAGGCACAGTGGAGTCCTTGGAGGCACCTGAGGTGTGTGTGGTGGGAAAAGGAGGGCTCTGAACCCGGCTCCCAGCAGGCATTGGCATCTCCTGAGAAGCCTCAACCTTGTGAGCACAAATGAAGGATTGATTTTCTTGTGGCCAGCATGGCAGCTTTGGCTTCTGCTGCAGCTGTGGCACCGCTGGTGGGCTCAGAGGGGAGAAATGGAAGTTGTGTCCACAAGAGAGAAATCCAGAGTGGAAAAGAAATTTACAAAACCTGGTTACAGCCCTGATGCCACATGCCCAGGGAACAGGCAGGGCTGGGGAAGTGCTGCATGCTGGGGGTGCTCACTGGGTGCTGGGGAAGGTAAAGTCACAGCATCAATTTAGACAAAAATTTTGCCTCTGAGTTGGTTGAGGATGAACTTGGGACAGATTTTACAGAGTGAGGGGCAGATGATCTCCCTCTGTGCTAGGAGAAAACCCACCAGAGCCAGCTGCTGGAGCTGGAGGTGTTTGTGTGAGGGACCTCAGGGTGAAATGGGTAATTGGAACTGGTGGTTTCATCACCCTTGCACCTATGGGAAGGAAGGTTCCCTTATCCTTGGAAGTGTCCAAGGCCAGGTTGGACAGGGCTTGGAGCAACCTGGGCTAGTGGAAGGTGTCCCTGCCCTGGCATGGGGTTGGAATGAGATGATGTCTGTAAGGTCCCTTCCAGCCCAAACTGTTCTGTACTTCTGTGAAGGTCAACCTTGTTTGTGTTTGCACAAGGTGCTGTGCAGCTCAGGGCTGTGAACTGCTGTCCCCAGGCACAGCACTTCGGGGCAGGGGCTGCCTTAAAGAGAGGGGAAAAAGTGTAGAATTGGGGTTTGTAGGTGTGGGTTGTGTGGCACAGCCTGGGAACAGATGGGGGCACAGAGGGGAGCTGCTCTCTGCTGATATTCACAGCTGGTTTGGGAACATTAAGCCCCCAAAACTGAGCTGGTGTCCAGCTGGGTGCTGAGCCCTGGCCTCTCCACGCTCCCAGGAGTGACCTTGGTAGGTGCAGGAAATCCCTGCCTGGCTCCTGCTGCCCACATTGCAGCACCCCTGGGTGTAGAATGGGGCCAGCACACCCTGGGGCTGTGGTTGCCCCCTGAGCTGGGTCTGTGTACCCACAGGAGTGCAGAGCCCCATGCTCTATCCCACCTCCCACAGTGACTCAAGGATGTATCTGGGGGTTCCAGAGTCCCCCGTGCCTGTCCCAGCACTGCCTCCCCCAGCTCTGCCGTGGCTCAGGGCCAGAGACAGCTCAGCCAGGATGTGGGGACACATCCTCTGCAACATGCTGGTGTTTCAGAGGCTTCAGGGAGACCAAGCCCAGGGCTGTGTGTGTCAGGTTCCTCTGCCCCTTAATCAAAATTGCCTTGGAGGGAGCTCTGCAGCTGGCGCTGGAATTGGCGCTGCAATTCCTTGATCTCATCTGCTGCATCAGCCCTTCTCCCCGTGACCCACAGCTCCATGATCAAATGACCCAGCTCATGTGGGTCTGGGAAAAGGGAATTTCAGTGCTGCCTGTGGCAGGGCATGGTCATCCCAGGGTGGGGAGAATGTGGGGCATGGTTTGGTCCTTGCAGAGCCCCAGAAGCCTGGGGGGAACAGGGTTTAGGGCAGCTCAGGATGGGGAAGAGGCAGAACAGGACAGTTTGGGACATTTTTGGACTCTGTTCATGTAATACCCTCTGCTGGGGAATGCAGTGGATGCAGGGCTGAGGCTGGGCTGCTGTTCCCATTGGGGTGAAGGAGGCCTCTCCCTGCACCCCCAGCTGCTCTGCAGCTCTGGAGAAGCTCTGTCCTGGCTGGGTGGTTTGAAAGAGGAGGTGGGGAGGGGGTACCTGGAAGGTGCATTCCCCAGCCCACCAGGAACAGCCTCAGTGGGCTCCAGCACACCTTCCAATGCACTCACTGCACCCACTCAGGTAGAGGAACCCTTACCATGGGTGGCCAGCCTGGAGCTCATGGTCCCCACAGAATGCTCTGGGACCCCAAAAAGCTTCTCCTCCTCAGAGGTTTTCCTTCAAGGAGGCTGAGTGAAACCATGCTGGAGCAACCTGTGGAATGTTTGTCCTGGGAGATTTGTGGCACCTGGTGTCTGTGGGACCACAGCTCCACATCTTTCTAGAGATCATTTCTTCCTCTGGAGAAAATTCCTTCTTTTTCTTTGAGTTTTGAGATTTTTTTCCTGAAGTGCTACAGGCGAGGTGGAGCTTTGTTCCATGGCTGGTTTCCTTGCTGAGCTCTGCTCTGCCTGCCCAAATCCTGTGGGCATGAGGAGTGATGAGCTTCTCCCCTCACTGGGACTGTGCTGTGACATCCCTGTCACTGGTGGTGGCAAGGATGGCCCTGCTTGTGGGTGTTTTGGGTGGCATGAGACCACACCCTTATCACATGGAGAAAAACACCAAGGCAAGGGGGGGACACAGGGCACTGTCTGAGGGGTGACATGAAAGTCACCATGGGGCAAGCAAGATGACAGCAGGAGCATGGAGAGATGTGGCAGGTGGCACCATGTGGAGGGACACTGGGGCTGAGGAGGACACTCCATTGTGGGGATGGGACTCAGACACCAATATATGGGGTCACAGAGCTGGTCCTCCTGCCTAGAAGAGCAGGAGGTGCTTTTGGGTGACAGGAGATTGTTTCAGGTGACAAGGAGTCGGTCTCAGATGACCAGGAGATGGTTTTATGAGGCCAGGAGATGGCCTCAGGTGTCTGGGAGGTGGTCTTGGTTGATCAGGAGGTGGTTTTGGGGACCAGGAAAGAGTTTTGAGTGGCCAAGAGGGCCCCATCCTGCCTGTGGTGCAGCCCTAACTGGTGAGGGTTGGTGCCCAAATGTCCTTGCTGTAGGACCTGGGGACACAGGGGTGGGGCTGCAAAGCCTCCCTAGGGGGAGGACATCACGTAGGCCCTGGTCCTGTGGACCCCTGTCAGGAGACATCGTGTGTGTCCTCACTCTGGGGTGTGGGGTGCAGTGGCCTTCTCCCAGGATGGGGACATTTAGCACCCATGGCCAGTGGGAACAAAGACCAAGGTCTGGTGCAGCTGAGGGGCTGTGGGTGCCCTCTCTGTGTTGGACTGTAACAAATCCTCCTCTTCCTCCACAGCCTTGCCAGCAGCTGCCTCACCAGGATGAAGGGGACAGCCAATGTTAACTCCACTGGCCGCAGCCACTTCCAGTCTGCCATCCCAGTGCCCCGTGCCATAGCCCATGGCAAACTGCACCCCACAGCCCCTCTGAGCACCCCGGGGTCCCCTGTCCTCCACAGGGCTCCATCCCCTCGGCCAGGGAAGCTGCCAGCCCCCAGTCCCAAGACTCTCAAGCCCAAAGCCACGGGCAAAGCTGCTGGCCATCAGCTGGCTGAGGGCAGGGAGGGAAGCCCCGGTGTCCCTGCTCAGGGAGGGCAGAAAGCCCTGTCAAGATCCCTGGTGTCCCCTGGAAAATGGCCAGAGCCAGGGGGCAGTGGGAGGACAGGGGCAGGCAGGGTGGGGGAGCTCACTGAGCTGTGCAAAGCCCCCCTGGCACAGGGCAGGGCTGGGGGGCGGCTGGGAGGGTCCCCTGGGAAGGGCAGGGGAGCAGCCCCAGCAGGGACAGAGGATGAGTCTCATGGTGGCTCACAGGGGAGGGGCCCTGTGTTTGGGTCAGGGGCCATCACTTTCTCCTCAGGGCCCTCACACAGCCACCCCATCACTGCCACTGTGGCACCCTTCCAGTACCGGTGAGTCTCTGGGCATGGGGGGCATGGGATGGGGGTGCCTTGGGACATGGGGCTGTGGGGGACATGGGGACATGGGGACATGGGGCTGGGGGTCAGGGGTGGCCATAGGAAATGGTGGGGTTGGGTCA